AAACCGATAATTTTGTCGGACAATTAAATTCTCAGATTAATATTGCATTTTTTTAAATAATGACGCTTTTGTCCGACAGCTGGTTATCACCAACCATGTTGTCGTTAAGTCGACATCTTCGGGGCGTCGGACTGCAAAAACTTCTCAAGAATTTTGTCGGACAATAAGATACTTTCATTTCAAATCTTATTACCAAACCCTCCCAGAAAAATCAGCTTGCTGGTTGTCACCAACCATAATGTCACCAAATCGACATTTTTGTCGGACAAATTTTTTGGGGGGTTTAAAAAAATATATATCTTTCATTTAAACTTAAAAAAAGTGCTGGTCATAACATTCCATGTTTTGCCAGATTGACATGTTTTCCTGAAAATCACGAGAAAACTTACCACTGTTGAATTTTCCTCATAGTCAAATCTTGGGAAACTCGTCAAACTTAAGCTGCACACAAAGTTACAGCTTGCCGGTAATCATTTTTTTCTTTGTACGTGGGCCCGTGGACTATTACTTCCACTTGAGTAAACAAGTAATCAGACTCTCGTATTACCATAATTGTTTACATTTCTTAAGGACTACCTTTCATTCCACTTGGTAAGAGTTATGTTACGTTGTTATTTCCATTTAATATCATGTTCGTTAATATGTTTCCCATGCTTCGTAAACAAATATCACATATTTGCCCGAATAACTGAAATTGTGAGCTTGTGTAAGGTATTTCAAGGTAAAATTTATTGGTGTAGGATTTCTGTTTCCCTTATTTATTACTCACCGACGGATAAAAAACATTTTTCTGAAAGAAAAATTGTTTACGCGCGCTTATTTACTTTGAAAATACATAAATCTGTGTATGAACATCAAATTTATTACCAGATAAATAGATTCCATCCGTATGACCAATGAAAACGTCAAGCGAACAACTTCTTGTCATTTTGACGTACGAGCAGTGACAGTGAAATAAAACCACAATTCCAGACAGTTTTTGTTGAAAAAATTTCTTCGTAAACAACCATCATGACTCTAGCAGCGTGTGCAAAAGACGTGAAGTTCTACAGATGGCCCAACATCTGCTACACAGGCGTATACGAGACTCCAGTGGACTGCATGGCAATCAAGACCATATCCTGGTCTTGCAACGGCAAGAAACTCCTTGTGGTGAAGAGCAAAGGTAGCCCGGTGATCATATGCCCCCCTTCCAAACCGGAACAGTACATAGAACCGTTCGACTGCATCCACACCAACAACGCTTCTGTAGCTACGTTTTCCAACACCAATCCCAACCTCCTCGCTCTCGGCACGGAAAACGGAAGCGTGTACTTGTTCAATCTGAAAAGCAAGCAGAAACTGCCGCAGGAGTTCAAGAAGTTGCCTGGCAACATCCAGAACCTGGAGTTTTCCTCTGACGACCAGTGTATAGCCGCTGGTTGCCTCAACGGGCAGATATTTTTGTACGACTCGAAGTTTAAGCTCAACTCCAGCTTCGTGGTGCCGAATAGTCCAACGCTGTCGACGATGGCTTACAGTAAATTCACGCCCAACTTGCTAGCGGGTGCCAGCAAGGAAGGGGTGCTATGCCTGTGGGATACTGAGGCGACCGACATCATCTTGTCCAGCAAGAACCACGAGAATAGGATAACCGACGTCACTTTCTTCGAAACGATCTTATCCACTGTAGGGATAGACGGTAACTTCATCACTTACGACCTAAGGACTTGCGATTGCACCGCCCGTTACGAGCTAGACTGTCCCCTTTCAAGCCTGGCCTACCTACCAGGGTCTATGGAGATGGCAGTGAGCACCATGTCGGGACAACTGCGCAGCTACGACCAGAGGAACATGAAGAGTCCTCTGCGCACCCACGTGGCTTACATCAGCGGCGGCATCAAGAAGATAGCCTTCCCAAACGTCAACGAAGCTCTGATAGCGCCTACGCACGCGTACCAGAAGAAGTACACCAAGTGCTACGAAGACAACTTCTCCGCTTCTGGCGATTTCAGCATCTTCACCGATTCCAGCGTCTTCGACAGTCCCAAACTGGTAAGCGTGCCCGACGAATGCGAGGAGGAGTGCGTCGGTGCCTCTGCCGTGGAAGTGTTCTCTCCTGCGAGGAAACCTGACAATGTGGAGCTGGAGGAGCTGGCCAAAGCTTTAGAAGATAGAGTCAAGAGTACGGTTAAGGATTTCGAGGAAAAATTGCTGCAGACTTTCTACGGTTTAAGGATAAACACTAGCAAGCAATTTATCGGATTGGAGGAGAAGATTTCGCAGAGTTGGAACAGCTTCGTCGACTATTTGAGGTTCTCTGGTGCGACCTCTGGGACGGCCAGTGCGGAAAAGACTAGTCAAGAAGAGTTGACTCAGCCGGAACACTTCAGCAGTGTCGCGGATTGCATGTAGGTAGATTGTTGACTGTAAACTAAATTCTCAGTTAGATATCTTGCTATTTTTCTGTTACTGGTCTCATAATGTTTGTAAATGGAAAATTATTTGAATAAATAATAAATAATGTAATTGCTGTAAGTACTAGTACTTGAAATCGCATCTATAGCGGAGTCAAGATAGCTTAAAACTTACGCATTATTTCGAAATAATTATGGGAAGCATGGATTTTCCTAAAATCTTTTGAAATTACTTGGAGATAAGTATTAGAAAAAAGTTATAAACTTATTTTTGTACGCTAATTGTTTTTTAATTGTTTAAACAATAATAAATAGTTTTTTTAAGAACATTTAAAATAATTCAATTAATTTTAAATCGAATTCTTTCAAATTGACAATATAGGGGATACCGCTGAACAAGAATATGAAGTCGGAAAATGAAAATACAGAATGGCTGATCCAATATGGCCGATTATTTTAAACAATTTATTTAACAATTTTCGATTTTAAATAAAACTCGCTCATATTTGTAATATAGAGGTTCGAAAAATGAAAATTATAAATGGCTAAAGAGGTTTTATTGAAAATATGTTTTATTTTTTAAAAAACAAATTTATTACAAAATAATTAATTTTTAAATCTCATCGAGTTCTTGCTCTTCTTCAAAAATAACTGAGCAATTAAGGCAATCAATCAGCACAGGAAGAGCATACTTAAGGCATTTAGAAGTTATGACAATATAAAAATTTCAAGATAGCGTCCTTCATACTGACGTTGCTATGGTAATAACAAAAAAAAATCAAACAAAACTTGTGAAGGGTGTAACAGTGTATCTAAAAAATGTTTTTTGTACATTATTAAACTTTATTTAACAATAAATTTCACGGATTTTTCATGAAATATTTGAATTTTTTGTTATTTTTTGTGTTTTCTCGTAGAACATTTCCTATGTGTTCTAAAGAGATAACTGGATAAACAATATTTAATTTTTTTTAAGAATTCTTTTTTTGAATGAGACATTTTCTGTAGATGATTGTTCAGAGTGCTCAGACTGCTACCGATTACAGTCATTATGTGAAGGTTAAAATAATATTAAAACGATATCGGCGTAGAGCAATAACAGATTCATTGTGTATGTGCATATTAATTAATGGGGAATATATATATGATAACCCTCTTCGTTGTAATATAAACAAAATATTATCGACGCCACAAACAACGTGACACACAAGCATCATCTCTTACGTTATACATTAATTCTCCCATATAACGGTGTAATGGTCACTTGGAATCAGATCTGGATTGCCAATGAGCTACTTATTCAGTAATATACAGGGTGAATCGAGAGAGTCGCACCAGAAATAAATAATAAGCAAAATGTCAAATGTTTGAGATTTTCATTTGTTTTCTAGCTATATGACCTACATTTCAATTAAAAAATAATAATTTATCGATATTCTATTAATCATAATGTTATTTGATTAAATGTTCAGAAACACTACTTTGACCTCGAAACGTACTCGTTGGCGATATTCTTCAACAGTAGCATTAGCATTGCCATTTGCCACTACAACAACCATAAACAAATTACTCTAAATTTGAATAAGTTCTTAGCATTTTGTAACACCTTGCCTAACCAAAAATCACATACTGAAAACAACAGATATGTGGCCTAACTGCTAACGAGTGGTATGACGTCACCACATGGCTTCTGTGCATTTTCTTACGCTTCGTTTTCATTAATTATCTTAAAGGAACAATTTTGAAAACAATTTCTAATTTTTTGTACCTACATTAATGAGCCCATTGGTCGATTAAGAACTCCAATACTCTAAAACCTAGCATATAATAGATTATTTTAGTGTGTAGTGTGTCTATTTAGGCAAGTCGCAACAAATTGTCATAGTTGAAACTGTACAAACCGAATCTGATCCTTGTGTACTATTTACATGGATACTATAAAATTGAACAACTTCAAATAATTTTTTTTTACGAGGATTTATAATTATTTAAGAACAACGAACACGTGTTTGGTTAAATACAAATATACATCAGTGTGCTTAAAACTTACAAGAAACGATATAAATAATATTCCTAAATTTAAATAAAGTAAAAATATAACATTAGCCGTGATATTCCTAATGCGCATGCTCGAAAAGAATAGCCTGATACGCAGGTGAGATCTTGTTGATATGTTATCGCTGTCATCATTAACGCATTTTCTGTTATTTTATCTCTTAACCAATACGAAACGTTTCTTGAATGATATCAGCCTGTTGCGAGGCTACTTTAATGCGCATGCTCAGTAACATTGATATAATTTTAATTTATTAATTACTATAAAAGTCAATATTGTTCTATAAATTTAAATACCTATATAATCAAATCAAATCAATCAATTATTTAGAGAATTGAATTTCTCATCGAAATGGCTTATTTAAAAAAATTAAAAGGAAGATTTTATGCAGAAAATCGTTAATAAACAATTTGAAAAAAAAGCAAAAAATTCGATTTTTTTATTTTTTTACTTTTTTGCCTCGTTTTTTTTTTAATAAAGATAGGTAATAGGTATAGAAAAAAAAGTAGATAAATTTTTCTTCAAAATAAGAATTTTTGGACTTTTTGACTGATATATCGCCAATCAAACTTACAATTAGCCAATTTTTCGATTTTTGTCGCGTTTACCCTTATACGTTTTAATTCTCATTTTTTTGTAAAAAAGGAAGAAAATCAGAGATTCAAGGATTTTCATCACATGACTTGTTTGAAGGATCATTAAAAACAAAAAAACCGCAGGGTGCTATTAAATTAGAGGGTTGAAATTGAAGATAGGGGTGAAAATGCACTTTTTTTTTTAAATATAGCACGAAAATGAAGCAATAGTTCATAGGAAAAATTTTGTAGAGAATTGAATTTCCCATCGAAATGGCTTATTTAAAAAATACAAAACGAAAAATTTTATGCAAAACATCGTTAATAAACAATTTTAAAAAAGCAAAAAATAAGATTTTTTTAAATTTTTTTCCTTTTTTTACTCTAAGTTGTGAAAATCTTTATTTGTTATTAACAACTAAAATTTTTGAAATAATTTTTTATTAACTAAAGAACCAATTTATTGTAAAAATAATAAGAATTGTAATCATTATGTTAAAAACGACGAAAATCTAAAAAATATTCAAGTTTATACCGGTTATAAAGTCAATATTAGTTCAAAAACTTTTGAAAACGCATCATTTTGAAGGGAATCTCATCTAGTTTTTTGTACAGCAATTTTCTTTGTCTACTTCTACTAAAAAAAAAAAATTGTCAAAAATGTAAAAAAAAATTAAAAAAACGAATTTTTTGCTTTTTTCAAATTGTTTATTAACGATTTTTTGCATAAAATTTTCCTTTTAAACAAGCCATTTTGATGGGAAATTCAATTCTCTAAATAATTTCTCCTATGAACTATAGCGAAATTTTGCTTCGTTTTCGAGCTACAATTAAAAAACTGAAAGAGGAGCATTTTCACCCCTATCTCCAATTTCCACCCTCTAATTTAATAGCACTCCGCGGTTTTTTCATCTAAAACGACCCTTTGAACGATTCTTGCAATAAAATTGCTTGAACGTCATAGTTCCTTATAACCCTGTTTTTTTTGGATAAAATCAATAGCCTATCAGTTGTTTGTCACTCAACATTTAATTGAACCTATTTTTATGTTTATTTTGACCAAAAGGTTACGATTCGCATGTGCTTCTTAGCGAGACACGTTTGTTTCGCTGCTTTGCATAGCAACGTGCTCGAGATTCCCGAAACTTCTGCCACAACTCCTCCACAATCAATCCTTAAGAGCCAGTGCTCTTTACAACAACTTCCAATCTAGCGCGACCGCGCACACACGGTGTAACAAACAACTTTGAAACTCCCCAGAACTCCATTAGATAATATCTTGTAATTTGATAAAAGTTAACCCAGCATGAAGTTCCGCAACGAGACGTCTCTTATTAATAACGATACAGGCAGAAATCATCTCGTAAATCAAAGACTGGTGTGCTGGAGGGAACGGCGTATTATTAGTATATTTGCGTAGCCGGTGTAGGTGGTATAGAAAAAAATCTCCTCGCTAATGATGCTTTTAACCACTCTTGAAGCTTGATGCGAGGAGTGAATCGTCTGCGAAACGTGATACTCCGGGCGCGAAAGAAATTATTGGTGCGCCTGATAAGCCATTGACGTGCGATGATTTGATCGTTAAACTGCTATTATACGTTTTTAATATCCGAACGTTGCCATTTGTCTGCCAGAATTCCCGGATACCTTTCTCCGGTTGTAAATTATTGCTTGACTTTTAATCGATACGAATACGGCGCGAAAGTTTCGACGTTTATTCGGGAGCGCTTTATTTTAAATGTTTTCGACTAAATACTAGCCTCAGTCTTTGTAAAATAAAGCCTTTATTTCAATAAAATTTAGTACAGATAGTGTATGATAGTAGGCCTTGTATTCCCTAAAATATGAGCTCTAAAGATTCAACCAGTGGTGCACAACTGGACAGGGTCACTCCCGTTTTTGACAACGATCCTCGGTACACGAAGAACGTCTCGGCAAATTGGAGTGAGTAAATCAAAAATTTGAAAAGTTCTACGTAAGAATGGCAGTAATCCGTACCATTTACAACCTGTGCAAAATTTGCTTCCGGGAGATGCAGAGAGACGCCTGAATTTTTATTAGTGGTTGTTTGAATTCTTACTAGAAATACTTTGGACCGATGAGACTACGTTCACAAGGCGAGGGATAGTGAATTTTCACAATCTGAATATTTGGGTCACAAGAAAATCCTCATGAAATTCGGAGTCATTTCTAAACTTTCTAGAAAACCATCTATTTGAATTATTAGAGGATGTTCCATTAAATGTACGACAAAATAGCTGGATACAAATAAATGGTGCTCCTGCGCATTTTAGGAGAATAATACAAGAATGGCTTAATGAAAATTATATGAGATGATGGATAGGTAGAAGACCAAATGCCAATGTT